AATTTCTACATCTGGCAACTGGCACCCAATCCTGTCGAGCGAAAGGACAGCAGCCTGGGCTGGATCTACTACCTGAGCCCATGGCCGATCCTTGTAGAGGAGCGACTGCGCTTCCTCAAGACAAGCCCGAAGCGGGCCAATGCCTGGCATACAGGAATGTGCACTCAACGACCAATGCTTGACTACATCACAGACATGCACGATCCAATGGCCCCTGGTGGACGCTCGCTGCGTCGACCTCAAACGGAGCGCAACTGAGGTTCCTGGAGGGGCTCTCCCTTCTGCACGCAGCGAAGCAAGTCTCAAGGTGGCGAGCTTAGTGTCAGCTATGCCAGTGACCGACGCCCCCCACATCGCCGTCGCCGTAGGAGACCCCCTCATAATAGTGCTGACACTAACTCCTGCCTGCCTGAGCGGGAAAAAAAACACGCTTTGATACAGATGACGCTGTGGCCAACCGTTTGTCCTGCTCTTGAACACTCCTCGACGCGCCGTCGGTGGCGTCCGTGCCTAAACACCTGCTGCTACGAAGCTTATGCTCATGTCCTAGGCTCCAACGCTCGTTTAGCTCCGAATCCAGTTCCGCTGAACTGGTAATGTAGCCTGTCATATTCCAATTGACAACGAGCTGCCTATGCTGAAGGGGCTCAACTAATTCAGACATAGCTTGAGGAAACTGATCTAGCACATGCTGCCTGCCTCCAATCACCTGAAGCAGGAAGTCGTCTACTAGGTCTTGAAACCTAACCATAGGATACTCTAGCCTTGAGAGTGGCACTCACTGCATGCACTAAAAGCTTGGCCAGCGCTAAGGCACAACTGCAGCCTGCCGCCACAGCACCGTTGGCTCGGACCTGGTCCGAGATGAAAGACTTCCACCTGGCTCGTCTGGGCAGTCTGTACCCTGCACAGAGACACTTCAGGTGCCTGACTGGGAACGCCGTGGCCAGACCAGAGCCTCCCTTAAAATATCTCATGCGAAACATGCTCGTAGTACTTAGACAAATCAAGAAGCCCACTGGCACCCGAGAAACCCTTGAGCCTGGCGAAACGCTGAATGATACTGTGCACATGCCCTGCTCTGTCGCAGGTCTGCCCTGAAACCCCCCAGAAGGAGTCATCATTGAGAGACAATTCCCGATTCCGAGCCGCAAGCTGCATAGGCCAAGACCAAATACGCCCCCAGATGGTAGCCAACACTATGGGCCTCACCCCCGTAGCTGGCGCGGGCTTGCCCAGGAAAAAAAGATCTGGAGCGTCCAGGGCCCAAGATTCTCAGGGCCCGACTCCCATTTCATACGGATGTCCAGGAATGCCTGCTTGCACGAGTCTGGCAGCCAGAGAACCTGCCTCGGGTGGGGGCGGCCCCGCCCCAGCCCGCAGGCCCCCGAGTAGGAAGACGGCACAGAGTTCAGCTGCGAGATGGTGACCCTAGACAGCCCAACCCAAGGGCCCAGACCCCCTGAGGTACGAAACCCCTGGTCGGAAACAGAACCACAAGAGGCCTCCGATGGGCCTCACGGGACGGGCCCCAGGACACCAGGACCTCGGGTGGGATTCACCATCTCTCTTAGGAGCATTCCAGAGCGGCCCCCACTGCTCAAGGAGCCTGTCCACCGCCTTTTGCCCTGAGACAGGCAACGGCGGCACCAGCCCCGCAGACCTCCGAACAAATCTGCGCGTCAAGCAGAGGCCCCCGAAAAAGGCGCAACCAGCCCTCCCCCCTTGATTATTGGCGGCCCCCTGACCCAAGCCCTCCAGGCTTCGGCGCCAGTCGCCCTGGCCTTCGCTTGGAGGTGAGAGAGGTGGCCCCACAGACCCAGGAGGAAGGAGAGAGCCTCACCCCCCCCCCATCAGAGAGCAGCCTCACCAGGGCACTTATGGGAGCGTGCTGCCACCTTCCCAGCGGCCCCTCGGCGGGCCACGGCGGGGTAGCAATTCGAGAGACAGTGCGCTCTCGCCGCTGCTGCGCAGCCAGATGAGAATATTTCTCGGCGCGGGACTCAGAACCTATGGCACGCAGCCTCATGCAAGCCGGATAGAATGATGTCCACTCCCTGCCCTCGACCGTGGTGTTCTGCCGCAGCTCGCTCTTCCAGACTTGGTCAAGCTCCACGTGCTGAACTCGAAGCCCGTCCGCTCAGCCAGTGCACGATTGCCCACACAATCCTTGAATATCGTGAAAATCCAGAAGGTAGGCTTGGGCATGCCGAAACCAAACTTGACAGGCTTGCTGAAGGTCAGGCGGGTACTCCGATCCGATCTGCCACGGCCACTGACCCTCTCGAGCTTCAGGAGGTGCTCTACGCATAGGTGGCTTCTCGATGGGGAACTTCCTGGGTACCAGCATCCGAGGAACCTTGGCCTGCACTCCTATGCCGCTGAGTTTCAAGGCCACTGGCGCGTGAGACTTTGCTGGGGCATCAGGAACAACATAAACTGATTCCACAAAAGGCGCCAAGACTCTGCTGCAGATGAAGAAGTCCAGCTCCCTCGCCCCGAAGGTAGGTTCTCCGGAGGAAACGATTTCTCATTGCACAAGTTTCGCCCACTTATCCACATCACTTGGCAACAAATTCCAACCCGCAGCCACTCTTCACGGAAACTGTAGCTTGCCAGCTGCTTGAGACAACTGACCAAGGAGCTCGATATTCTCTCCTGCGAGCCCGACGCTGGTGTGAAGGTATACTGACACGACCACCAAGGGAATAGAAAGACCAACATTGATCATGGATGCCGCAATCCTGGAAGACGGCAGTTCCTTTCCACAACTCAAGTCCAACTTGTCTGCTGGCAGCTGACTGAGCACAGCGCATCCTGCACTGGGCTCCGTAGGGCCTGGCCCTGTGATGTCTGCTTTTGGCATAGAGGATTGAAATCCACGCTGCTGCGCCCACTTCCCGGCACTCTGGTGCCTGAACGAATCCTTGAGACGATGCTCCTGGAGACAGAGAACGCCAGGGAGGCCTGGTCCACCTTCATGATCATGTTTAGCCCGTTCTAACATGGCCTGCGCAGCTGACCACGTGCTGGGATTGAGCGTCCAAAGAACAATACTGGAAGTACTGAGTGGGCTGCTACCCCGCTCTCTGTCGCTTGGCGTGCCCTGCAATGTCTGCCAGGAACCTGCGAAGGGCTTCTGGATCATCAGCGGAATCGACCCCAGCTTGCTTGAGCTTGGCCTTGAGCTCATTGTCGTCTGGGTCCAGGACGATGATGTGTGGGTCCGACCCACCTGCGCCACCAGGAGAAGCATCATTCCCAGTAGCAGGCTGAGGTGGCGAAGGCTCTTCAGCCTTCGGCAACTGCGATGTGAACTCCGCCTTCTTCGCCTCCGTGGCCGCCAGGACCGCCGTGGCATCGATGGCGAAGCGAGAGGCGTATTTCTTGACAGCCAGCTCCAGGACTTCCAGCATCTGGAGCTCGTGCTTTGGATCAGACTCGCCATCTTGCCCTGGAGGCTCGGGCAAGACAGTGGCGGACTGGGTTTTCTTGATGAACTTTTCGATCTCGGTGAGGTTGTCCTGATGCGCCTTGAGCTGCTGGCACTCCTGCTCATAGTAGCGCTGAGCCTCTTCGAGTGCGGCCTTGGCATTCTGCACTCTCTCAGTGGACCCTTCGATCTGCTTGAGATTCCACGACTGCCTCTAGAGCAAGTCCTGGAGCCCCTTTGAGCCAAGGTCTGCGGGCCCTGGCTCCTCTGCTTTCTTGAGCACTTCGGTGAGCTTGGTGTCAAGTTCCGAGCCCGCTTGAAGCCCTCGTGACTTGAGCAGCTTGATGATATCTTAATTTAACAACTCCGTGGCGTTGGCATTGGCGCGCCCGCCAGCCCTTGAGCCGCCTTGGCTCTGGAGGACAGGGGGACCGTTGAGCCAGGCATTGGCCCGCTTCACCTTGCCGTTCCCACCCGAAGTTTTCTGCTGCCGCTGCTCTCGTTGTTGATTGATGATATGTTGCGGCGCCCTCGACTCACACTCCCGACAGGCAGACCTGAAGAGAAAGTTGGCGAAGGCACACGTGGGGTCGCGACACTGCCAGGTCTTGCTCTGGCCCTGCCCCGACGCGCCATGGCGTGACATGTAGAATTTCTGACTTTGGCTCGAGTCGGCTGCGCCACTTCCAAGTGCGCCGACCCAAAGGTTCCCAAGCCTGAAACCTGGAAATGGCTAGGAGGAGGAGGAGGAAAAGGAGGAGGACGAGGAAGAGGAGGAGGAGGAGAAGATGGGGAGACGATGAGGGGAAACGATAGGGGGGTAATGGCTCAGAAGGGGAAGAGGGCATCGACCCGAAATCTGCGATACATCGCCGACAGATCTAGAAGAACAAACAAACACATACACATAAACTGTTGGCGCTCCGCGCGGAGTTCTTGGATTCGCGCAGGACACCCCCTCCATGGCGCGCGGAGCGCGCCAGCGGCGGCGCCAGAGGCGCAGCCAGGGAGTTCAGGCGCGGGTCCAAGAAATCCGCGCGGAGCGCCAAAAGTTGATGTTTATTTGTTTTTGTTCTGCTTCGAGGATCGGGGATAGGCCCCCGATGGCGAACCCGCGCGGACGTGGGCGAAGTAGGCTATCGGGGCCCTATCGGCGATCAATGGGCGATTGGGGGTCGATGGATCTCCCCTCTGAGCCCACCTACCCGTAACGTTGCCCCTGACCTCTTCGACGCCTAGTGGCTTTCGGGTCATAACTCGGGCCTTACGCAGCCATTCGGGACCATCTGGGCACCCCTGAAACGCTTCGGCGAGGCGCACCCGCTGGAAGGCATCCCGAAGCTAGAGAACAGCCGAGGACCGACTGACCGACGAAAACGTGTGAAAACCTCGAACGTGGAACCCACAAGATTCCTCCCCTCTTCCCCCTCCCCCTCGGTTCTTCGACGTCGATACCCCTCCCCCTCCCCCTCCCCCCTCCCCCTCCTCCCCGTACCCCTCCCCCTCCCCACTCCCCCTCGATTCTTCGACGTCGATGCCCCTTGGCACTGCCTGGCCGTCGTCGCCCTCGCAGCGCCGCCGCCTCGCCGCAGACAGTCAACCCGAATAGTAAGGAAGGGCAACCTTCCCAAGGGTACCATTATCCTTGCCTCCTCGGTCCATCCTTGGCCAATTTCGTTGGCCGCGCCCCGCTCAAAAAGCTTCGACATGGGCGTCCAGGGCCATTGCATCCTTATCGCGCATCCAAACTATATTGGCTGGCTGTACATGGCCCCCAAGCCCGGGTCAATCAGAGGGGAACGGCTGACCCCCGTTGTCGCTGACCCCTGGCACGTGAACCCCAAATGTCCTCCAGCCAGGCGGCACCGGGAGAGGCAGCGGTGGCGGACCCGACCATCACGATGGGCAGCAGCGCCAGCACAAGCGCTGCCGCTTGGCAGCACAACGCCCCTGCAGAGGGTAGGAGAAAACACCCCCTGCGTGGGACGCAAGAGGACAAACTGGTACGATGTGTTTTTTTTGATGCGCGCGTCCAACCAGATTATACAGCACAACCATCCTATGATGTGCCGTTACCCCAGCGGTATGGCCAGGAAGCGCCCGCCACCGAGCACATAATAAAACAGATGTCTGAGCATGCGCGAGGCCCCTTTGGGGGGCGGCGCACAGATAGTATTGACATGTGTGGGCGACGCCGAGTGCAAGCCTTTGGTGGCAGAGCGGCCCAGCCTCCGAAAGGGAAGTGGCGGTCGGCATCACGAACGGAGGAATACCGCCGCAAAGCACCCGAATAGCTGCAAAGCCGACGAAGAGGTGGGTCGAGGAGCACGACAAGCAAAACTGCGAAGCCATCGGATAACGCGCGTTTTGCTGCGCGGAAAGGTCGGAACATGGCCACGTGCAGTTTCGCGCATTGAATCAGTTCGTATCCTGCGATGGGGTTCTTGCGATTCTCAGATGCCTCCGCCTCATTCCTCACGCACCTCCCTTCCCTGCGTCTCCCCATTTCCCCCTCATACCTCACTCAAGTGGTCTTCCCGACTCACTTTCTCGCTCACAGTATTTGCACCGATGTCCCAGCACGTTCAACTAGCAGCAAAACTGAGAAGCTCGAAGCCCCAACTTAAATCGAAGCGATGTCCCTGCTTAGCGACGGGCCAAAAAAAACACCTCCTGTGGCGGTTTCGCAACCGACGGGCCCGAGGAGGCCCCAGCATGAGACCCGCGACCTCTGACGCGTAGAGAAGCCGAGGGGATCACATTTGAGATCGATGCCACACTCTACCTTGTTTTAAAACGTGTTTGCTCGAGACTAAACTATCGAAAACTCGGCCACCAGGGAAAACGTTTCTCGCGGCAAGAAACATCGCACAGACACGAATATCGGAGACAGGGAGGGGGAGGCTAGCCTGCTCATTATGCTCCAGCCTCGCCGCAGCACCACTTGATGAAGTACAACGGCACCTCGTTCGCGCTTCCCGGCTCAGAAACACCCACGCACGTTGCTGCAGCCGTCTCAGAAACACTCCCGCTCATTGCTACAGCCCCCCCGCCCGCTGAGGGGCCGGGGCTTGCTCGCGTCGTCGCGCGCCCGGGTTCGATCACATCGGCAACTGCTCGACCCGCTCCTGAAGCTCTCTCTCCGCGTGCGTCGCTGGTGCTCTGCCGAACTTCCGCTTCGCCGGAGTAGTCTGCAGCGCCTTCGCGAAGTGGGCCCTGAACTGCGGCTCGTGGACCGCGGGCGCGAGCCTCTTCTTCTCCTTCTCGCGCGCGCGGTCGACTTTGCAGGATAGCACCAGTTCTGACTTCTGCTCGCAATCGTAGCTGTCGCAATCCAGGAACACCTGAATAACGTTCTGATTGAGCTGATCGTCGAGTGGAAGCTCCTTCGCCGCTGCCAGTAGTCCGCCCATCGCGTAGATCTGCGGCGGCCCCAGGTCGCGGTTCTTGCCCCCCTCCTCGGCGGCCTCGCCGTAAGCCGCGGTTTGCTCCTGGATGCGCACGGCGGGCCGTTGCTCACGGAGACCCAGACGTCGAAGACTACGCTGCTCACGCCTCTATTCTGGCGGGCGCGCCGCGGGACTTGTTTCGCGATCAAGGTCGTCAGCTTATTGGTGTGAAGAAGGATTTGCTGCTTTGCGGCCTCGTAGGTCTTCTTCTTCCTCTCCTCGTCGTCGCCGTCTTTACGTCGGCGCTGGTTGCGCTCGAAAGGCGCGCCTGCGTCGCCGCCGCTGCCGATTTAAAGGAGCGCGGGCATGGTCCAAGCGCAAACTCGGCCGCGGGGGGCGGGCGCTCCTGCTGCGCTCGTAGAGCGAGGCCAGATCCGCAAAAGGCTGCGGAGCACAGGGGGCAGGTCGGATTCCCCACCGTTCGCAGGGGCCACGTCATCGCGCTCTTCCCCGTTCGGCACCGACCCTGGGCGCCAGCAGAGATGAGGTGATTATGTGCACAGGCTCTGCTCGTCTGGACCGCGTAGCAATTCGGGCACTGGTTCGCGATCGCGCTGCTCGGGATGGCAAAGCGAAGTTAATGCCGAGAGGCTTGATGAGCAGCGGGGTGTCGATAGCTGTCAGCGCTGTCCAGCTTCATGATCGACTAGCTCGATTTTGAAGACCTCTGGGATCGGATCCACCATGTCCTTGGGCGCGCTATAGGAGCGAGGCCATGTGGGGCCCCCTGGGGCGCGCGCTGCTGCTCGAAGGATTCCGGGTTCGAGTCTGATAAGTTGCCGCTATGCCTCGGAGATCGGGGCGAATAGGCCCTCCAAGACTCGATTGTGTCGGGCCGGATCTCCCAGGGGCTTTCCGCGCCGCTGATGCCGCGAAAGAGATCGAGGTCCCTGGGGAACTGATGGGCCCAGGGGTTCGCTATAGCTCTGACGCGGCCGAACTCGTCCAGGGCGGGGGGGCCGACCAGGATGTGACCGAAGATGGCGATCAGGGTTCGTCGATGTGCTTGTTTATGTCGACACATGCTCTGAAGCCATTCAATTCTTCTGGCCGCGAGCTCTGCTCTCACTGGGAGGATCTCCCGGTGATTGAGAACCTCGACGTTACTCAGCGCAGTCATGCGCGAGCCCACGTGGATCGTCTTGGCGCGACCCTGCACCGAGGCACGAAAATGCTTCACCGCTTGGGAGCCCAGTTTCTTCTCCTAGGTTTCTTCAGAACGAAGGCCGCCAGACCCGGAGCCCCAGACTCCACCACCTTCCCCAGAGGCCCCCCTCGTTCCAGGACTTCCCCATCTGGCACCACCCCACCACGCGGATCGCGATCTCCAACTTGCCACTGTCTGCCATGGTGCAGCGGGCTCCAAGATGTCGAGCGCCCGAGCCGACCTGGCCCTGGGACGGTGGACAGACTTCCTGGAATCCCCGATTCTCGACATGGGACCCGATATACTCTAGACCCGGGACCCTGCGCAAAATGCAATTGGTGAAGCATGTGGTCGAGCATCTCGTCGCCCGATCGACGCATCTCCAAGGCCTCATCTGCCGCGCCTTTCGGGCACAGTCGTTTCTTCAACAAGTCGCCCGCGAAGCCAGACAGAGATACGTCCTGATGACATCCCTCGATCTTGTCAGACATGACGATAGGGTCATGAGCGAAGTTCTTCCCATATGAGATGCTTTACTGATATACGCCAGCAAAATGTTTAGGTGTTCCGCTAGCTGCTCGAAGCCCGCCATGGTGTAAAAGAAACCCCCCTCCTGATCCTCCACTTGAATGAGCACGATAGTATTCACCGGCCTTTCATGTGCCAAGGCATGGAGGTCCTCTCGAACAAGTTGCTGGCTGATGCGGAGGAGGTCGCCTGCACGTGGGCAGAAGAACGCGTTGGTGAGGCCGTGGAGCTCGTTGATGTGGTGTTGCTTCTGGCGTCGGAACGGCCAGTCCGTCCGTCGTTGTACTAAGATGGTTCTTTCGCGTCGACGATATGCCATAGGCCCATGCCAGTGACTTGGTATGTTGTTGGCCCATGCGAGCTTGCGATCTCCCCATCCATAACATACGGCGTAGAAGTTGTTTCCAGATGGTGTCCAACAGGTGAGGGAACCTCCGGCTGACCATATTCAGTTTTTGGTTGCGCTTGTCCAGGAGGATGCCCTCAGTGATGCTGGACTTGGTCGGCAGTTGATTAGCACGTGAGCTGTGAATGAGGATCTCCATGAAATGGTACTTGGCCTTGGTGTAGTGCGAGGCTGTTTCCAGTACGTTGTGTCGTCCGTCTTGGGCTCGTGGTCGGTCAGGCGTCGTGGTTGGTGGTGGTAGTGGAGGTGGTGGTGGTTCGTCGTTTTCGTGCTCATCGTGGTCTAAGTCGTCGAATGGGTCGGGTTCGCGTTGGTCCATGTGGTGTCGCGGTGCCGGCGTGGAGGTCGAGGCTGGAACGAAGTTGATGATGAGGGTCTGGGGTTTGCTTGCGTCCGCCGCTGCGGGGCCGTCGGCTGAGGGACTGGGGCTTGCTTGCGTCGTGTCCTGATCAGGCGTCGTGGTTGTGACCTACTCATACTCCGACCTCTACTCATGAGCATTCCGGTCCACCCACACTCAGAAGTATAGTCAGGCCTGTCTACCCAGACTCACTCAAGATCGGACTCACTCACATCGTGATCTACTCACACGCAGACTTACTCACACTCAGACCCACTTATATCACTGTCTCAAGCGAGACGCTGTTTTAGCACTCAGGGGTGAGCCGCCAGGGGTATTTGCATTTTACTGAATTGTTTCGCTCACTCCGCCGGCCCATATTGCGCGCCGTTGTCGACTGACCGAGTGGTCTTTCGCGGTGCGAAGCTGCAGAGGCGGCGGCTGTTTTTTTTTTTTGTTCAGGCTTTGCGTTCGGAATGTGAAGCTTCTTGGTGGTCGCTAGGGGAGTCTTGAACGCGTCGCGTGCCGTCTGGAAGCGTTTTGCCTATGGAGACTCTTTCGGGAGGCCTCTTGGTGACCTCTTGGGGACTCTTAAACGCGTCGGGTCGTTGGCACTTCCTTGCGTGCTCGGGGGGGCGTGTGGGGGGCCTCCTGCGGCTGCTTGGGGGCCTCTCGGGGGCCTCCTAAGGGCCTGTTGGGGGCCTCTTGGGGCCTCTCAGGGAACTCTTGGGGACTCCTGGGGGCTTCTTAGAGACCTCTCTTGGGGCGTTCTTGGGGCCTTCTTGGGCCGTCTTGGAGGCCTCTTGGGCCGTCCTGGAGCCCTATTCGGCCGTCTTGGGGCCTTCTTGGGGGCCTCTTGGGCCATCTTGGGGCGGTCTTGGGGGCCTCTTGGGCCGTCTTGGGGTGTCGAGAAGCCGAACCTGGAAACGCCACAATCTCTCCAACACCTAAGGAAGACCAATGATTGTTACTTCTTTGGTCCCTCTTGAGAGTGCTCTTGGAAGCCTCTTGGGCCGTCTGGGGGCCATCTAGGGCGTCTTGGAGCGATATTGTGGCATCTCGGAGCTCTCTTGTATCATC